CTTCCTCTGCGCCGTTAGTCCCTAAGCTTTTCATTATGATCTCCTCTTTTTAATTTTTGCCTCCACTCTTTAAAGCTTTGGTCTCTTAAATAAGCTCATTTAAGCTGTTGCTAACTTTTTAAATTAGTCAGACACATTTAGCTGTTGATCAGTGCTTTTGATCAGCATGAGGTAAGCAGTGTTACCAAATGGGGTTGATGTAAGCCAGTCAAAAGCAAAGAAGTTTGATGTTTTATTGACATGTTCCCTCTGTTCTGTTAAGCTTTGTAAAAGATTGAGAACAGTTCATGGATTACCCATTGCTGCCTTCAGGCACCCCTGGTAGGGCCTCAGCATCTTGCCCCATGTCTCCCAATCCCCCAAGCATGGGAGCAAGAAGTAATGAGAAGAAGCGTAGAATGCCTTAAATGGAAGGAAGTAGGCAAAAACTCCAGTGACCCCGCATCCAATTCCCTCAGGATCTGGAAACAGTGTGTCGTGAGTAGTCCCCTCAGAAGGAAACATGGCAGCCAACCCCAGGAGAGGACGGTGAAGATCGGTCTTGGCGTTTCTGTGGTTGTGTGGTGTTACTGGGGAGCAGCCAGCTCCCCTGGGGTAGCAGGTGTAGGCAAGAGAAAAGACCATCCTCCTCTCCCTTTGAAGTCTAGATGAAAAGTGCCGGAGCTTCAGGATTTGGGCAGAGAAAATTGATTTTGGAGCAAAAAGCAAACAAACGAAAAAGTCTTTCTGCTGTTCCTTTTCCCTCTCTACCAGTTTTAGGTGTCTCTTTAAAGCTGTCTTTTAAGAAAATGGAGCCTTCTCTATGAAAAGAGAGAGAACCCGGAAAGCTTTGTGTGTGGCTCTCACTTTTAGAGAATCTGTTTGCAGACAGAGGTGAATGAGTCTTTAAACAACTTCCCAGGATCCCTGATCTCTCCATAACCTCACCTTCCGTATCACAGCCAAGAGTGCCTCTGACTTCCACCCCCCAGGCCCTGGGGCTTTCTCCCAGCCACCTTGGGAAGGTCAGGAAAATTGGAACTGCCCTCTGGAGCTAGGGACGTGAGACTTAGAACTTAGACGGATCTCTTTTCATTAAACAGTGCCTTGGCTTAACAAGCAGTTTTATAAATCTGAAGCTGTCTCCGGGTGTCGCAGGATTTATGGACGGGGGTTTCTGCCATAAAGTGGTTTATGATGGCTGCCTTCTGTGTTATTAGTAGCTGTCTCTTCCTTCAACCATTGCTGTTTGATAATAGCCTTAAAACACCCAGAATTACTTACCTGCAAGCCCCATTCCCAATAGCCCCTGTTGACAGTCTGAATAAGTTTACTGCCCTTTTGTTGTACTTTACCTTCAAAACAAACTGATTGAACCATCAATAGCTCGTGGAAGCTGACAGAGGCATGTCATCTGGACTAGCCCTTGTGATTGCAGGTTATCTGGAGGAGTTAACCTTCCCGCATTGTTAACTGAAATGTTTTATGTACTATGCAACTTTAGGATACGGCTGTGATAACCCCAGTAACTAAGTCATACATCACAGTAAAGAGATTTTGGTGCAACAAATAACCCTGGATTAAATTTACAAGGGTTGAATTGATATTGTAAAAGCCTTCATTCTGTGGCTTCAGGAATCCTCTCTTGTATTTTTATGGCAAACTTGTATTATACTCAGATTGAAGCTGCAGCTTTTGACACCCTGACATGACCTAGAACAAAGGGAAATAGATTTCCCTAGACTGGGATGGGACAGGCAGGCAGAAAGCCCACTGACTTATCACTTGGCAGTAATGTTTGGAGCTAGTTCCAAACCACCAAGGGGCAGGAAGAACTGTAGATGTGGCTGCTGTCTGGGTGCTGTGTACCACAGACATTGGGGCAGGGCAGACTGTGAGCAGAATTGGGAAGGAGACTCTTTGCCACCTTATCAACATCCTAATTCCAGAACTATTAATCTTCATGGTGTTATTTTCACTTGAACGGAGGTTCTCAGCAGGACCAGCAGCATCAGCCCTACCTGAGAACTTATTAGAAATGTAAATTCCAGGTCCTACTCCAGTCACAGTGAATCAGAAATGCTGGGGGTAGTGGTGCAATCTGTGTTTCAACAAGCACCCCGGGGCATGCTGATGCCCACTCAATGTTGAGAACCACTGTGCTGGAATATAGGCTCCTTGAAAGCAGGGACCTTGTCTGTTTTGTGCAGCACTTTATGCTCAGCACCTGACACAGTTTCTGGCAGCTGGTGGCTGCTCAATAATTATTTGATGGGTTAGTGAAAGTATGAGTAAGTAAATGAAAGAAGATAGCTCTAAGGGAGGACCTTTGGACCCTGGGCTGAGTCTCAGACTGGACTGTTTGGGACAAGCCTTCCTAGTGTCCCTCAAACCTCTCCAAGCACCAACCAGCTGGAAACCTCAGGCTGGCCATCAAGATGGGAGTCAAGTCACACCTAGTTTCAGAGGTGACTGGCAGCCTATTTCATAGACTGTTTCCTCAATTGTATAAGAGTGCTCTGAAAACAGCAGCTCTTTGTCATCTAAAATTTTTAACTAGCTTAAAAGCCAGCACCTCTCTCTCTCTCCTTTGATTTCAGGGCTGTGATCCAAAGTGGGGCGAAATGACAACGTGCTGTCTGTTGTCATCATGGTTCCTGCCAGCCCTGTGAAGACATCTTTCATTCCATCATTAAACATTGGCTGATTTTCTAATACTGATGTTTTCTTCACCTGAATATTCATCTTTTCCCACCCTACACTTAGTGGGTGTCTTTACTCCTTTGAGCATCACTCCTGACATATTGTTTCCGTCTGTACATGTCTTTATTTGAAAGAATCTGTTGTCATCAAGTCTTTGCTGCTACAAGCATAAGACGGAAGTTTTCTCTGACATTGACTGAGGCCAGTGGGAGTTCTACTGGAGAATAGAAAGGTCATTTGGGCCTTTGTGGAACTTTTCTGATTTGGGATAAGGTTAGGGGGCATTTGGAGAGGGAAGGGGGAGGCTCAGGGAAAAGTAGGAAAGAAGGTAATAGATTGAGGCCAGGGAGGAAGCAGGAAGTAGATAGTCAAATTCCCAGGACCTCAGATGTTAGGGTAGACATTTCTGGGGAGAAAAACTATACCTCAAAAGAATTCAGATACATTGGCGTTAAAAACACATCATATAAAGGTTATGACTGGAGGCCTCTAAGCTATCGACTCTTGCTTTTGAGTAATCAGCTAAGTCTTTTTCCTGGACAAGCATATGGAAGCCACTTGGTGATGTGAAACCACCTTATGAATGTGGGAGCCGGCCTTGGGGACCCAAGGCTCCCCTGAGGAGGGAGGCACCACATACCCTGAGTAACATTTGCCCTGAGGAAAAGCTAAGTGTGTGAGGTTGCTTTACTTGAGGTTTTTTTGTTCCTCTTATTCCTCCTCCAGCCATTAGTTTTCAGGCATTCAGTGAATAATGTTAGGTGCCTTTCTCTGTGCTCCCCAAACTACTTTGTGCATAACCTCAATCTTGGCACTTAGCTATGCTAGTTTCTAATTTCTCTATGTGAGTCCATCATTCTCCATTACACTGAGGACCCCTTTAAGAGCAGGAACCATGTCGTAATCACCTCTGTATACCAATGACCTGGTACATAGTAGGTGCTCAAGAGATATTCGTGCAACTGAAGTGAACGTTATTGATCTCAGCTTTATTGCGTCCATTCTAATGCTACTTTCCAGGATCTTATGAGGATGAGCAAAAAAATGTGTCCCTGCCCTAAAGAAATTTATAATTAGGTGAGGACATCAACTAAATACCAATAAAACAATTAAAAACCAACAAAATGTTAAACTGTATGGTGCTGACATTGTATCGTGGGAGTGCTGAGAAGGGAGAAAGCAATGTGGGCTGGAGGTGCAGAAGAAAACTTCATGGGGGTTGGGATTTGAAAGTTGAGTGAATACTGAGGAGGCTGGGTACAGGAAAGAAATGAGAGATTCCCGTAGAGATAATCCATTGCTCTTGACATTGGGTACTTACCTCTTCTTCCTAAGCGGGACAAGGTCTAAACAATTACTCCTTTGATTGATGGGGGCTTGATGGACAGCATCTGGGTTGGTGACTGTCACTGAGGAAGGAGAAGTATAGGCAAGTATCTATACCTTTTCTATATTTATTTATATGTTTATAAACCTGTCCCCTGGCCCAGTGGATCTTCTCCATATACACTTACTTGAGGTTAGTTCATCACACAAGTATCCATTGGCTTATCCCTGGAAGCCATAATGGATACCAAAGACTGTTTCTAGACGAATGGAGAGCACATAGCATTTGTTGGGCTATTAATATCTCCTAGAAACCAACCTCCCCTATTTTTCCTTGATAAAGATAATCTTCATAGTGCCAGTGTGGAAATAACTCAGTGATGATGAGAAAAAAGCCCTTAAGACCTCTGTTTGATTCCTCAAGGAAGCATTTCTCAGCTATATGTGTTTGTTGGTTCTCTCCCAGGTTGTTACAACCTGTATCCTAACTTATTTTCCTGGATGGCAAGTCAGTCTCTTGTCTCAGCTTCAAATTGAAGATTTGTTGTTATCTCAGATATGAGAGTGATACAGATGACCCATAGGAATGGTAAGGGCATAAATGGTACAGTCAGGTTGTAGGTTAGTTTCACTGAGAACTTTCTGTTTAGCAAAGAAGCTAGGCCCATTTTCCAGAAGGGAAGGAGGGAAATATATTGATAAGATCTTCCTTGCTAATCCAGGTGTGTGTGTATGTATCTACCTTTGAGTCAAAAGCAGCCATTAGTGTACGTTTTTAAAATTTAGTTGTGTGTCTGTGTAAAATATAACCATTTGGGTTTCCTCAAAGAGCAATTATTCATTCTATGTGAAAGAAGAGAGGAGAAGCAGCAGCCAAGGTCTCGGCTTCTGTAGACCTAGTGGTGTCGATTCCCAAGTATCAGACAAATTGCGTGGATCTTTGAGGCTGTCACCCCAGCCTTTCTGAGTTGTCCCAGACTTTTCTTTTCCAGATGCTTTGTTCTGCACAAGCTGCCCAATTTGAAGTTTCTGGATGCCCGGAAAGTAACCAGACAAGAACGAGAGGAAGCTTTGGTCAGAGGGGCGTTCATGAAGGTGGTGAAGCCCAAGGTAAGCTGCCTGGTCCCTGGTCTTCGCAGGGAGTTGTGTCTCACTTCGTTGGTTACTCTTTGAGCATGGAGGATGTCCTCCTTTGTGTTTAGAGTGCAGGAGGGATCTCACACTAGGGTTTCATCCATGGATATACTGTTGACCAAACAAGAAATAGGACTGGGTATAAATTGGGTCTTCCCATGACCCAGTTTAAGAGGATCTTATTTGTAAGGTGATTTTACCCAGATGGCTCTTTTCCAATAAAGCAGCACCATACACAGCCCAGTGGTGACATTCCTGGGGGCGTATTTCAGGCCTCCTTGAAGATGTTTTATATATAAGGTGGGACCTCTACAGGTCTGGAGCTGAGAAAGAAGAAAGCGCTGGGCATTTACTGTTTCTTAGGTGGGTAGGATTCTTCCAGCGCCTCAGAGGGGGCACTACTTTCTTGGGACCAAAGAGGAGCTAGGGGAGAGAGATTTTCTTCTGTCCACAAGTGAGGGCTCAATAGCTCTCAGAGATATGGTAAGTAGGGAAGGCAATGTTTTCTGACAATGTGACCTGGGACTGGTGTGTGCTCCGTACATGTAGCTCTCCAGAGCTCATGGGAATGGTGTTTACTGACCTTTCTTTTATCAGCTGAGTCTGCATTGAGGCCATGGAAGTGAACACCATGTCATCTTAGTGACAGCATCAATGAGACAGGGGAGATTTGGCTTTGGGTGTTAGATTCCGACACAAGGAGATTTTTAAGGACATGAACAACTATCTCTTTGGGAGGAGTTGGAGTCCTTCAAGGCTAGAGAATGGACTTGATGACCTTTGATGACCCCTTTGGAGGTCCCTCACTGCCCTGGAGCTCTGTGGAGCTAGCTTCCTGTGGGATCCTAGCTTGTGTGTTGAAAACATTGGCCCAGAAATCCTAGAGGTCTAGTTTGTCCTCACTTATTGACTTAGAGCCCTCTGCACGTGCATTGGAAATGATTAAAAAGGGAAGGAGAGAAAAACAAACAGAACCAAAACAGAAAAATGAAACCTCTTCCATCAAGTAGCTCAGCTGGCAGTAGACCTCAGGCCACTTTCTTTTGCTGAATCCATGAGGTGCAACTTATTTCCCGTTATGCTGAATAAATTGCTAACAGTTGTGGAAATATACGATATGGAGGGTATAATACTGGCAGATAAATGTATTGTTACCTGTTTCAGCATGTGGGAAATTAATTGAGTGATTCATTTCGTAGCTATTAAAGTGTTAACAGTTTTCCGTATCGAGGCATAGATTTGATGTATTGCTCATGACTGCCTTTAGTTATTCCAGCTTTTGTAATTTTGTCCAAATGAAGTAATTTATTTCTAGGCCTTCTTTTCTTTTTTTTGGTTAAAAGATTCCAGAGACAGCCAACACTACCAAACCAAAGTACAGCAAATGAATTTTTAATAATATCTTGGGTTCCTGCTCATCTTACATTTCTCACCTTCATGTATACATGCACTTCATGGAATAAATCAATATTTCTCCTGCTCTCATGGTCTTTGACATCGGAAGCTCTACATTGTCACTGGAAATCTGAGGGGGTACGAAATGTAATACCCACCATATTTGGGTGGGGTGCTCCATGTGTGTCCACCGCTGTTCTAAGGTTTTTTCGATACAGATTTGTGAGTTCTCACATAACCCCATAATGTAGAAGGAAGGGAGCTCTGGCTTACTCTACAGATGAGGTAACTCAGGCCTGGAGATGTTAATTGGGCTGCCGAAATCACCCGACTAGTAATTGCTGGAGCTGGAGCTTTACCCGTGTGTCTGACCACAGAGCCCGCATTCTTCCACTCTGATTTCTTACCCCTGGAGCAGAGAGCTAAACATTTTCCCTGTGCATCTCTCTGTTCAAACAGAACCTCATAGGAACCTAAATGAAGACCACAGATAAAAGCAGGGCTGTTCCGTTGGAGTAGAGATGATGCGGGGAGGGGACAGAAATCCTCCCCTCATTTGAAAGCAAGTGGAAATGGCTCCTTAAAATCCAGTAGTAGCTGGTTCTCTGAGTCATTAGCAGCATTCAGCAGAAATGCTCTTCAAAGCTCCAAATTAGTTTCTAATCAATTATAGAATTAACTCATGTTTGTGTGATTGACTCGAACATCTTTACTAACTGTGTTAAGCTTAAAAATATCTGTTAATTATTTGAGGAGAGACAAAAATACTCTGACAAAGCATGGGGACCTTTGGTTGTTATCGTTTTGTAGAGTCACATGCTTTCCAAACTGGAGAGGACTTCAGAAATCATCTCATCTGTGATCTCATTTTATGGGTGAGGGAACTGGGAGAGGATGTAGTTTCCTAAGGTCCCCACAGTCCTGTGGAGGCAGAACTGGGACCAGAACCCAGGGGTCTGGGCTTCTAGTTAAGTGTTCTGTTTACACCATGATCCTTCAAGTACACTGCAAGATTTCTCTGTGTTCCTGGTTTCATATCAAACCATATGCCTCTCTTGAATGGCAGACAATTCCCTTTTGTCTGTCGTTTTCAGAGATATGCACTGGTACTTTTTTTGCAGATAGAAAGAGGCCAAATGAGCTCCTTGCTGAATTAATAAATTGGTGTTAAAAAGCCTGGTTCTCATCTGCTCACAGTATGTACAGACTTATGTTTGTTTCTATGCAGGTGTGTATATATGCTTTCCTTCTCTGTGTATATATACATATGTATGTTCTGGGAGGTATGTGTACACCCAGAGTCAGCTTCTAAGTGGAGAGCAATTTCCTCCCCGTAAATTGCCAATGCTGTGCTGAGCACAATTGCTGAAGACCTATTTTTCATAACAGAATCGGAATCTCAAGTTGGCTTCTGTCCTTTCTGAGGCAGCAGCGGCCTGTTGTGCTTATTCAGCAGAATGTTCTGATGGATGATCAAGGGGGCCGTGATTTGGGAAGCTGTTTTCATTTTATTCCCTGACATAAAGTATTTGGGAGAATGGAAATGCCTCTCCAATCACAGCCCTTGCTTTGGTGGTAGGGAGTGGGCAGTCTGGGTGTTCTCGGTTGATGCAAATACAAAATCATCCAGTAACTAATAAACCCCCTATGTCATAAAGGTTGATTTGGTACCTGGCGGGCCCTGGCACTTGAGTGTGAGTTCTCTCTTGCTTTCTCTCACGAGGACACATTTCTCCTTCATTGCTGCCTTTTGGTTTTTGTTGTTTAAAAGCTGCCTTCTGTCTGAGCTCTGAAAGATGCTGTCATTCATTAGCAAGTGATAGCTAATACTACAAGAGACTCTTCTAGACTTGTGTGTTTGCGCGCGTGTGCGTGTGTGGTGTTAGTGGACCTGCAACAGCCAGGCTTTGCTTATTTCTCGGAATTAAAAGAATATGTATATATCTTTGTTAAATATTGGCTATTGAATCATGTCACTGTCAATGCAGAGAGCCCCAAGCTGGATGCAGAGAAAGTTGACACCCCCAAAGAAAGGCTTCTGTAATGACCAGACCGTGACCCCCTCTCACTGCACTGGGAAACGTAGATCAAAGCGGTGTAGAGGCCTGTCCAGGAGAGAGTGCATGGTGGGCACGCCAGCCCTGTGTATCAGAGAGAGAGTTCAAGAATTTGACAGTCAGAATTGCTTAATTGTGTCCTGGCTTTGTAATTATTCATCCCTTTTCTGGCAAAGAGCACAGTTGTCATTTCTTTAACATAATTATTTAAAGCTGAGCCCTCTTGTTTACAGGCATGTATATAACGTTGGCTACCAACTGTTTAATCTTCAGAACCTTATAGAAGCGATGGGGAGAACAGATACAGGGACAACTGCACTGAGAATCGCAGCCTCATTTAGGAAGTGTTTTGACATGGGTATTTTTGCTTATAATTGTGGTCATTCACTGATGGGTAAGATATGGTAATAGGTATGTTTGTGAGTGTCAACGTGTCCTTGAAAATATGTTGCATGTCTTTACGTGGGCATGCCTGGGTTTCCTATCATGTGTAGTTTGTGTATTTGTGTAGTTTTGCATAGTTTGTATATTTGTGTATGTGTATCTTGGGGATATTTTTGGGGGGCGGGGTGTGTGAGAGACAGAGAAAGAAAGGGAGGGTGGGAGAGAGGGAGATGTGTTGTATTAGAGGAATAAGATTCTGAGCACATGAACCTTCTGGAAATCTTTTTTATTCTCATCTTTAGACTGAAAGTTGAAAGTTATTTGGTCCAAGGATCACCCGCTTCCATGACTACGCTACACACTCCTACTCTTGACGCTTGGAGTTGGGCCCTAATTCCCCTGGGTACTTTTAGTTTCTTCCGTCTGTGTCTATGTTTTTGGATTTCCACAAAAAAGGCAACCTAGGATAAAGATGGGGAATGGAAGCATCGGGATGAAGCAGCTGCTTATCCACTGGGGTGTCAGCTCAATGAGGGCAGGAACTTTGCCATTTTGATTGCTCCCATATCCCCAGTGCCTGGTCTGCAGCAGAGGCTCAACCACTACTTGTCAAAAGAATGAACCAGAGCATATTGTAAGATTCTTCATGAAAGGTAGTCCATTTTTTTATTGCCTCAATATGGTCCTCTGGAAAAGCAGGAAAGGAACCTTTGCCTTAAGAAAATGTGATAACTTGAATCTGTGCATTGGTGGAAAAGAGAGATTCTGGGTTGCGTATTTGTTTTTCCAAAGGATTTACCCTGGGATTTCTTACAATGGCAAAACCTAGGGCCTCCGTGATTCCCTGTGTCTTGGCTTTTCCATCAGGTAGCATTTCTAGGGGAGGCAAGGGTGTGATCTGAAGCTGCCTGCTCCCTGTCACTGCTTAGGGTGTTCCCTGAGTCCTTCTCTCAGAATTCACCTGCTCATATCAGGGCTTTTGGGAAATAAAAAGTAGCTATTCTCAAAAAACATGTTGGGATGCTCCATAAGTCTGTGTGTAGTTAGAATGAAATTTCCCTTGTTTTAGCTGCTATTGTACTTTTTGTCTGTACCATAAGGAGCACTGCCTAGTGACTTCTTTGGTTCATGCCTACCCTA